TACCTCTTGTCGATATGCCATCATGTTGTCGTCAAGGCAGGACCACTCTTTCATGACTTGGTTGACAACCAGCTGTGAATCACCTCGAACTATTAGACGCTTTATCCCTAGGGAAATTGCAATCCGCAGTCCATGAAGGAGGGCCTCATACTCGGCGACGTTGTGGGACGCCGAAAAATGTATCCAAAGCACATAGCTTAATCTTTCTCCAGTTGGGGAAATCAAAACCACTCCTGCTCCAGTGCCCGAAAGTCGTTTTGATCCGTCAAAATGCATGGTCCAGTGCTCCATGTTCTCCGCGGGGGTATCCTCCTGGCACTCGGTCCATTCGGCGACAAAATCAGCTAACGCTTGGGACTTGATTGAAATTCGGGGCTTGAATGATATGTCCAAAGACATCAACTCCAAAGCCCACTTAGCAATACGTCCGTTTGCTTCGCGGTTGTGCAGTATATCACCGAGTGGAAATGATGTGACCACCGTTACCGAGTGACCTTAAAAGTAGTGAGATAGCTTCCTGGCAGTAATTAGGATACCATATAACAGCTTCTGAACCTGAGGGTACCTCGTTTTGGAGTCGGCTAGGACCTCGCTGACAAAATAAATCGGTCGCTGGACTTTCTGGACATGGCCTTCTTCCTCGCGCTCGACGGCCAAGACTGTGCTCACAACCTGGGAGGTGGCTGATACGTACAGCAACAACGGCTCCTGCGGGTGTGGTGAGGCTAAGACTGGTGGCTCGGTGAGAAGTTTCTTGAAATCTTCGAAGGCCTTCTGTGCTTCGGGTCCCCACTGGAAGTTATCTGTTTTCTTCAGCAGCTTAAAGAAGGGCATCCCCCGCTCGCCAAGTCGCGAAACAAATCGGCTGAGCGCCGCCATGCATCCAGTCAGCTTCTGAACATCTTTCTGGGTACTTGGCGGTTTCATGTTGAGGATAGCAGTAACTTTCTCCGGGTTGGCTTGGATGCCCCTATGAGACACCATAAAGCCAAGCAGCTTCCCTGACGGTACTCCGAAGGTGCATTTTTCAGGGTTCAATTTCATCCTGAAAGCACGGATGCTCACGAAGGTTTCTTCTAGATCCGAGATCAAATCATCCTTTTGCTTGGTCTTGACGACTACATCATCCACATAGGCTTCAACGTTGCGGCCGATCTGCGTTGAGAAGCATCTTTGGATCATACGTTGATAAGTTGCTCCTGCGTTTTTTAGTCCGAACGGCATGGTGACGTAGCAGTATGCCCCAAAAGGCGTGATGAATGAAGTCTTCAAACAGTCGGATTCCTTCAGTCGGATCTGATGATACCCCGAGTAGCAATCCAAAAAACTGAGAAGCTCACAGCCGGCGGTCGAGTCGACTACCTGGTCAATGCGAGGCAACCCAAAAGGATCTTTAGGGCAGGATTTGTTGAGGTCAGTATAATCAACACACATGCGCCATTGCCCTGTTTTCTTCCGAACTAGAACTGGGTTTGCCAGCCAGTCGGGATGAAGGACTTCTTTGATGAAGCCTGCTGCTAACAGCTTGGTCAATTCCTCCTTGATCGCGTCTTTCCTGTCTTGTGCAAATCGGCGGAGTCGTTGTTTGATAGGCTTGGCGTCTTCTTTGACATGTAAGGAGTGCTCAATCACCTCTCTAGGAATACCGGGCATATCAGATGGTTTCCACGCAAAGATATCTTTATTGTTCTGAAGAAAGGTGATGAGCGCGCTTTCCTATTTACAATCTAACTCAGCGCCTATTACAGCAGTTTTAGTAGGATCAGAGGGATCTAGGGGAATCTTCTTAGTCTTGGCTTCGCTTTCTCCACTTTTTGAAGTCTTGGTAACTGGTATTTCTCCTTCGCTCGCCGTGGCTGCAGCCAGTCGGATATCCTCTCGGGCAGACGCCATCTCGTGAGTGTGAGCCATGTCGCAACTCTCCTTGTCGCATGTGACGGCTTGCTTGATGTCACTCCGTAGGGATAGGACTCCTCGGGGACCAGGCATCTTCATCATCATGTAAGTGTAGTGCGGGACGGCCATGAACTTGGCTAACGCCGGGCGTCCGAGTATGGCATGGTATGCTGTCTCGAAATCGGCGACTTCGAAGCTGATATTCTCTGTGCGAAAGTTTTCCCGAGTACCAAAAGTGACCGGGAGGGTGATCTGGCCGAGTGGAGTTGCGGATAATCCTGGAATCACTCCGTGAAAAGGCGCATTGCTTGGTTTTAACTCGGAGCGAGGGATCTGCATATCATCCAGGGTCTTGGCGAAGAGGATATTGAGTGCACTGCCACCATCAATGAGGGTTCTGCGAAGCTTGACATTACGGACCACTGGGTCTAGTACCAGGGGGTACCGCCCCGGGTGGACCACTCGGTCAGGATGATCCGAGCGGTCAAACTTGATTGCAATCTCTGACCATCGAAGATACTGGGGCGTGTCGGGCTGAACAGCATTGATCTCCCGTTCAGTCAACTTCTGCTTCCGTTTAGACTCATAAGCCAGGGGGCCGCCGAAGATATGGTTGAGCTCCTTGCGGTGATCTTGAAATCCTGCCGGGGCGTCGCCATCGTCCTTCTTCCTTGACGTGCTTTGTTCTTCGTCAGAGTTCTTCCGTGCAGTCTTGGTGTATTGATCCGCGAATTGCTTGTAGACGAAACAATCTTTGGCCACGTGGTTGGAGTTAGGATGGTGCGGGCATTGGGAGTTCATGATCTTGTCGAACGTGTTGACGCGCGAACGCTGTCGAGAAGAGTGACTGGCGGTTGCAACAAGTTCCGCAGGCTTACGCTTGCGGTCCTTATGATTGTTACTTCCACCTCCTCCCGTAGCCGGCGTACCCTTGTTTTGCTTCCAACTGGGACCCGACTGCTTTGATGCGGTGACGGCGTCTTCAGCTTTGGCGTACTCGTTGGCTTTTTCAAACATGAGCTTGACTGTCCTGGGAGGCTTACGCCCAAACTTGCCAACTAGTTCTTCGTGGCGAATCCCTTTGGTGAACGCGGCGATGATAACGTCGTCGGTGATGTCGGAGATCTTGTTACGTTGTTCAGAAAATCGCCGGATGTAATCTCGAAGGGATTCTCCGGACTTCTGAATGACGTTGTAGAGATCATATTGTGTGCCGGGACGCTCGAAGGTGCCTTGGAAGTTGGCGATGAAGTGGTCGCGTAGTTCGGCCCAAGATCCAATTGTACCACGGGGCAATCCATGGAGCCAAGATCGGGCGGAATCCGCTAAAGCCACTGGTAAATAGTTCGCCATGGCCTTGTTGTCACCTCCTGCTGCGCGGATTGCGAGACCGTAGACGGTAAGCCACGATCCAGGGTTAGTGGTGCCGTCATACTTCTCTATTCCAGTCGGTTTGAAGCCGGCTGGCCAATCCACTCGACGCAGATCGTCGGTGAAGGCTGCTACTTCGTCAAGGTCGTCGTCGTGGCGGTTCGGCGAATGATGATAGCCTCGAGCTGCTCGGCGCTGTATGATTGTGTCGCGAAGATCGACGGGGCGGCGACGAGGTGGTGAGCGAGGCCGTTCCACTCGGCGCTCCTTATGAAGGTCGGGAGGTGAGTGAACAGACCGCTCGTCGTGTCCCCTGCTCCTGCGGTTGGATCCTGCGCCGGTGATGCTGAGGCTTGGATGACGGTAGTCATGAGATCGGAAGTGGGGGACTCGGCTGCCAGTCGGCGTGTGGACGCTTTCGGAGTTAACTGGGACCGAAGCCGCAATCATGGTCTTCGTCTGGTTCAAGATGTTGACGACGTGGTCGGATTGATTGAGCTCGTTTTGGTTGAGGAGGGTGTCGAGAAGGGTGATCGCGGCAACGGCATTCTGTTGAGGGGTGCGGAAAACCGGTGTCCCTTCGACATCCTGTTGGCCGATGAGATCACGCGCTCGGCGCCCAGCTTCCAAAGCTCGCTGACGTCGATCCTCAGCCTCCTTCGCGGTCCGCTCACGGTCCTGCTGCTCACGCCGTAGCCGTTCTTGTTCTTGTGGTTGATGCTCTTCCTCCAGTCGGTGACGTTCTTCGGTCTCCCGGGCTTGGCGTTGCTCCTCCGTCTCATTATTGGCCATGAAAACGCCAAAGTAGAGAGGGGTGTAGTTGTCATCTAGGCTTCCGTCGAAGTCGTCGAAGTCGTCGAAGTCGTTGTAGCGAGAACTAAATTCGTCGTACTCCACGATGTCAGTAGGACGTGAGTCGACGGTGGGAGAGCTGTTGTAGTCATCCAGCTGATCCGTCGAAACCGTGCCGAGTGGTTGGAGGATGACGCCGACTTCCCTGAAGCTAGGCGAAATCGGCGTTGAAGCCGACTTCCGCCTAGGCCTACGGGATGAAGACGCTGTCGTGGTGAAGACGGCCGCTAAATCGTCGGGGAGCTTCATCAGGACTGGTGGGTAAGCCCCATCATCTTGATCTGGTGTCGTTGAAGAAGATGCGATCTCGGCCGAGTGGTTTGAAGCCGACTCGGTTAAGATGGTCTTGAAGTAGCTTTCAGCCGCGTTCGGGAATCCAAACGGGACCGAAATCCGGTTCTCTCCCGACCGGTCTGATTCCGAGTCGAGGAGAGAAATCTTGCCGAAGTTGTTGGTGATGAAGTCGAGGCTGTCGAACCGAAACGTCTGCCCGGGAGGGAAAACGAGGTCGTCGATGCCGGAGATGGAACCCATTGCACTGATCGGCGAAAAGCTTGACGCTACCCCTACCCGGCGCGCCAACTGTCGAAACTAGATTTCGGCAATAATGAAAGGGGGTGGCTATCAAGCTAGGAAAGTGTATGGGTTTGAAGACAAAGGATTTATACAGGTTCAGGCCTTCTTATAAAAGAAGTAATACCCTACTCCTGTCCGGGGATGAATCCGCCGAGTGTATTATTGATTGTATGATTTGGAGAAAATCCAACCTCTGCCACTAGAGGCACCCGGACCCCCCTTATATATGGGGAAGAGTCCGTTTTACAAAAGATAATCTATATCCCTAACGGAATATGCAAATACAGATGAAATATAGTCGTAACCGACTAAGTCTCAGGGTGTTTCCTTGATACACAAGTTAAGAAACAAACCCGAGATACAAATAAGATATTCTATCTACATTAGGTATCCTGTACCTAGTCCAAATACCGTCGCCGTATAGATATGGGATATCCATAATCTCCACACACCTCCTCGTCAGTCCCCCGCCGTGAGCGTCGCGACTCGAAACCCTACCGTCTTTCGCGATCTCGCGGCAGCGACACGCATCTGACTACCGCGCCGACGCCGCCGGTGGCGATGGGCGAGGATCGCGGCGACGACTACCTGGGCACGCTGCCGGACTACCTCCTCCACAAGGTCATGTCGTTCCTCCCGGCGCGGCAGGCCGTGCAGACGTGCGTGCTGTCGCGGCGGTGGCGCGACCTGTGGCGCTCCATGCCGTGCATCGACATCGACGGCGACGAGTTCGGCGGCGGCATGGCCAAGGTCAGGTGGGAGAAGCTGATGGACTTCGCCAACAATCTACTCGAGTTCGGCGACGTGCACGTGATCGACTTCAACCCCCCGTTTCTTGAGAGGTTTCGTCTTCATCTCGCCCACTCTTGGACCGCACCATACATACGCGCATGGAAGGGCTCTCGGCTGATCGAGTGTTGCATCCTCGGCGGATTCCGGCACCGACCCGCCGCCGCCGAGATCGCCGTCGGCGTCGGCGTGCCGTTGTTCAGGCTGCCCTGGCTACCATCTGTGTCTACTTCCCGACTAAAAAGATTGCATCTCTCTGGCCTAGTTTTGGACGGTTGCTTCGATGAGTGCATCTGTTCATCCTGCCCAATCTTGGAAGCCATGGAGCTCAAATCTTGCTCATGCGAATTCAACAAGATCGAATCTGCCACGCTGAAGAGTTTGGCCATCCATGGATGCAGAAGTTGCCTCCTGGAGTGTACTACATTGGCTATCAAGACGCCAAGGCTCACCTCCCTTCTCCTGAGAATTACAGTTTATTATGAACTTAGAGTACGCTTGGTCGATCCAATGGATTCCTTGATCGAAGCATCGATCCGTGAGAAGTCCTACGAGCCGATTAACTTTGACAACGATCTATGCTTGTCACTTGGTGCCCTAGCCAGCGTCAGAAATCTCAAGTTATCGTGGTCTCGATCAATGGTATTTATATTATCCTCTTATTATAGTCCTTGAATATATATCCTCGTGCTTGAATATATATCCTCTTGGTGCATTCGTTTATTCATGCAAAAGTATGTCATTTGTTTAATCCATGTAAGAAACGACCTCTAGGGCTTAAAATCCATTCAAGTAATAATGAGTAAATTGTATTGGTGGTAGACAAACTTGTTAGGTGGGTGCAAATTAGTACATAAACTTATAAAACACTCGTTTTAGTACATGAACTTGTCTACTTCGTGTGAACAAGGACCAAAATAACTTGTCAATGTTAATTTTACGAAGTTGACGTTGATTAGAATGTGACGTGCATACGTGTAGTAAGCATGCATAAGACATGTAATATTTATAAATTTGGTCTCTACTTTATCCTTCATTATGGAAATGATGAATTTCATATATTTCTAACCTTTATATCATTGCTCGCTTTTTAAAATTTTTCTACTATCACTATATCCTATTCTATTTTTTTATTAAAGAGGTGTATATCTAATAGCAACCTTCTTAGATATATATTTACACAGTATCCTAATCAGCCAATAAATCAATAAGATTAGCTATGTAGTAATTTTGCCTTCCTCCGCACGCACCAGATAAGTTAATACACCAAAACGAGCATTTTATATGTTCGTGCACTAGATTGCACCCACCTGACAAGTTTGTGTATAGGCGATGCAATTATATTTACTCAATAATAATCTACTTCTACTTGTTATATTAAACTCTGGACCGAAATATGCACCCATATTTTTCTACATTCGACGACAGTTTTTTAGAAACCGTTGGAGATCCATGTGTCATTGTATTAAGAAGGATAAGAGAAACAGCTCTATATTCTCAGCCATTCGCACAGAGAAACCAAGCAGGAAAAAAAAGAAAAGAAAAACGTTTAACCGAATAACTTATTTTCGAATAACTTATTTTTCTCCACTGCCCAACCACCCTGCAGATTATATATCTATATATCCTATACAGTTGGAACCAAACACTGAACATGCATTAAGCCACATCACTATACAAATCTTGACCATTGGATCATCCGTTAGAGGGCAAGTATCATAGGTGATGTGAAACTAAAAAGTTAAATGACATTTAATTCTGTTATGAACAAAACACTAAATATGCACTAAACCACATCGCTTTAGAAATCTAGATCATTGGATCATCCGATCCGTTAGAGGGTTTAGGATCCTAGGTCATATGAAACTAAAGAGCAATACATTTAATTTTATTATATTCACATGTATTTCATCATTTCAATTACGATACATCCATTTAGCTTTTACCTTTTACGAAAAGACTATATTGATCTTCCCAGATATGAAGTGTTCATCAATTCGTTTATTTTGTTTCCTTCTTTTTCCTTAGCTTGCACATTTGTTAAAATCCATTTATCATTACATAGTCATTCCGCAGAAACACACGGGGGGTATTATCTCATATCTAACAATGTATGCCACCTTCACCAGTTAACCAACCTTACAAAACTCTTAATTTATATTTGGTGTACTTTTGTACACTATTATTATAAATTTCATCCACATATAATTTTATAAATTTGTATATGTCAACAAAATTAATGTAAGATGTTTATATGTAGGAGATCTTGTCTAAATTCGTAGTATTATGATGTGTCACATCTGATCAATCTCTTGTATTTTGAGATGGATAGAGGATATGATATTGCCATATTTACTTATTTTTGCTCCAATTTGCTTCAGGATTCACACCATGGAGAATTTCCAAATTTTCCAACGTTTCAAAAGCTAACTACCCTGCACCTATATAAATGTAATATGTGCCTAAATTTGAATATACTGTTGAGTTTTCTCCAGAAAGCTCCTAGCTTGGAGAGAGTTATATTGCAGAACTGCAAGGTATACTACTTGTATCTTTTTCCTATTTTCCTTCACTTGTTACACTGCCGTGTTAATCTGTCTTCTAATTATACTGATCTCTGTGATGCCTGAATAGTTTCCAGTAGCTCCCAGAAAGAGGAAAAGATCAACAAAGGTGGATAGACACAAGATTCCTCCCGAGTGCAAAGGTCTGATAACTTCGGAATCTCGCGCCTTGAAACGTATCGAGATCACTTATCAAGATGATGATTTCTGCAATCTTATTAAACTTTTCTCGTGCAATTGGAGAAAACTAGAGGAATATACTATCACACTGACCAAGGTTTGAGTCGTTTTCATTCCATATATGTTTTTCTAGCAACTTTAAATTTAGAGCATATATAGCTTAAGTCTTAAGAGCTAGTAGTACCAAATATTTTAATTTAATTAGTTCATTGTCTCCGGTAGACATCCGCTTGTTTGCTAGTACTGTCTAATTAGAACTTAAAATAGTTGGAGTGTAGTACCTTATTATCTTCACGATTGCTCTCAGCCTCTCAGTTATTTCTTCGAGTCTTCTCACTTATATACTATTGCGTTTTTTTTCTCATGTATCGCCAATTCGCCATGCATTCGGTTTGGACACTATTTGGTTAATTGGTTTTGCCAAAAACAAATATATATGCTACATAGAATGCCTCTAACACAATTGCATGCGCGGCTGTTCCAAACACCCTTTTCATTTTCATCAAATTCGGCACAAGCATCGGTGGTGATGTGTCTGAAATATATGCACATCACGTGTAGAATTAATCTAGTATTTCATAAATATATCATGACATGAAACATGTAAACTAGCAAAACCACTGCTGTTGATCTAGAAATGTATGCTAGACAGCTACACATAAGTAAATCTATGGAACATAACGGAGACGCCGATGGTTTTGGTTCTGCAATGGAAGAGGATCCGCTAATGCGGAGCAACACTCACCACACGAACAACGCACAGTACCGGGTGTTGACGACGACGCGTAATGCCCGAGAGTAGAGCAAGACGAGTCACGGTGGATGAACAACTAGCGAGCGAGTACACGAAGCGCTTCCCAAAAACTTTTTTAGCGCCTTCTCCTAGTGCAGGATATCGAAGCCGAAGGTTTCGGAGACCTACCCTCTCAATTGCTGGTGCACACCAGCAGACGGGATGGAGTAGACTACGAGTGATGTTGCTTTACAGAGGAGGCAAATCCTTGACTGTTTTCGTGTGTTTCGTGGAGCCAACAGCTTAGTTTATAAAGAGATAACTAGATGTGTCGTTAAGATGCTCGTACAATCTTGTCAGCTCCTCGCAAGGGAGGTGGAAAGTGTGTCTCTTGTTGCCATTGGTCGACGAGTGCTGTCAGTGTTGAACATAGGCATTGGCCTCTGAGCCATGGTGATGAACGCTAGCAACTTTGCATCTAGTAGACGAGGGATGTACCGGTTGTCAAACGGCATCACGCCTCCCGTGTGCCCTTGAATCCACAACGTCCTCATAACTTGTATAAAGAACAACGTTACAAAAAGTTAAATGCATTGACAACTCTACAATATATTCAATAAATAATAAGCAAAGAGTATGTTACCCCTCCCTCCATGATCCTGTGAGCTCAGTGCATCTCCTTGTAGTGCAGGTGTAGAACTAGGGTCTCCACCATCGTACATATTAGAATCACAAATTAGAGACGTGTACATATGAGTGAATCAAAGAAAAATATAAGTAAATTGCGCATTCTAATAACCTGTCTACTAGAAACGTTGACCACCCTACAAGTATGCCAATGTTTTTTTGGCCGATCCAAAGATTTGTCGTGCTTAGGGCATGTTGTTTTATTATGACTACCTTCGTGGCATATGGAACACCTGTTAGGTATCATATGCTCGGAATAACCATCATTCGACTTCTATGACCGACCAATTCTTATCCATGTCATTGATGAACCTCTTAGTTCTTCCGCCAGGAGTATCGATCATCTTCGACAAGTCGGGTATGAACTCCTCACCGTCATCACTTGGCCATTGAGTGGGATCTTGGCTTGGCTCGAACCTAGGGGAGTACGAGCATTGCACAGCTTCCTTGGTAGCTTCGAAACACATCCGAGGGGGCACTTCCTCATCCATACATCGTAGTCTACAAAACTGATCATTGGGAGCATGGCATGTGATGCAATGCCAGATATTGACATGTACAAGTGTTAGTTGTCACAACCATGCAATAGTGTCGGCCACCCCCATTGTGCTGCAGCTGATGTAACTCCACCCTGCTTAGTCACCTCGTACTTTGCTGTAGAAAAGTAGAAACAAGTCGTATGTTGTCCCATAGTACGTACTTTTTGTATTTCAAACTCCTTAATTCTTTTCGGCCACCTCTCACACTTTTGTATTGCAGCCATCGTGGCCTTGTACCTATCAGCGAACCACTTATTGCAGTTGTTGAACGTGTATGCCACGATGGATGTTACTGGTAGCCTATGAATGCCTTTGAGCATATTGTTGAAACTCTCTGCCATATTGCTAGTCATGAAGCCGAATCTACGAGCTCCAACATCACAGGGCCGTGCCCACTTATGCCTCTATCACATAATGTATAGTAGCCACTTCTTTAGTTGAGACTCAAGGAAATCAATGAGATGCTTCACTTCCTTCTCAAACTCTATCTACTCATTTATTTAACAAATACACTCTAGATCCTTCATCCGGCGTTCGGTTGCCCCGCACGGTAGAAGTTAGCACAGAAGTGTCGCGTGCACCATCTATGATGTACATTACGGTGACCTGAGAGATGACATTGTTGATTTTGTGTAGAATGTCTTTGTGCCTATGTGAGATTATGCACACTTTTCTATTGAGTCTAATCAAGCGTCTCCAAACCATACTAATGAACCAGTCAAGAAGGTACCTCAATTGCTATCATCGGACACAAAGTGGTTGAAAGCCTCTACACACTGCCCAAAGAAC